TACATACATGTAAATATATACTTATATATATATATACATTGTATATATATATATACTTGTATGAATATATACACTATAATTTGTGGAGAAACATTCGACCTTAATGACCTCTATATATTGGTCGTGACTGGTAGTAGACAATGCTGCATTTTATCAATGTGTTTCGAACGGTATAAATCACTACCAAAGCAGGAAACCCGGGAAAATATTGATTTATGTATCTGGCCAAACCAAATTCTACGGACACACCACGGTGGTACGAGTAATTTGATAGCAGTTGCACCGATACATACACGACGATTATAGATATACCATGTTGCCATCCATACCACATCCTTTTGGAGTGTGCACAAACGAACTCGTATTTCAAGACTCGAGAGTATTTATTTGCATATCTACATTATCATATATACACGAAGATACAATTTATAGTAGACATATATATGTTTGTATTATAAACATATATGTACATATTAACTTGCACACCGGATGCAGTACATCATAGCCAACTTATGCTACATATTTATGTGCAGTTGTATGTATTTATATGTTCATTTAGAAGGCTATGATCTATACATATGTACTTTAGTACAATGTACAATGCAATAATATTTCAGCAAGTGTGACACGTACCAATATTCATACTTGATTTTAATTGGTCATGGATGCATGTGGCGCCAAAAGTGAAATGTGGTCACTTTACTACAGATAGTCTGGTACATAGTTTACCACACTACACTCTACATAGTAAATACATCCACGGCACCTCTCTAGTACTGAGTCCTGGGCCTGATCAGTGGTCACCTGGGGCTGGAGCCTGGAGCCGGCTGTAGGCTGGAATCCTCTGGTTCAATGGGGTTGGGTCTGAAGTTGGGTCGAATTTACCAGTTCGGGTACATATAATAAATATTTAGGGCAGGGCATGTTGGGGTAAATAATAACTAGAGGAAAGTGTCGCACACGAAACGAACGCACTACGTGTATTCAAATGAATACTATTAACACTTGTTGTCGTTAGTAGTAACGTTCTATTACTTGCTGTGACGGTGCGTGACAGTAGGCAAGGGTTGTCGTGTGCACTGGCCCGATACGAAATTAAGCACACACACAAAACGCACAAACACGTATAAACATATAAATACACACATAAATTTATATTTATATATGCAGAATGGCTGAAGCAAATACAGCCAAAGGGTCGCACGCACACGCACACGCAAACACTGATGATGCACGTATAACACCATCCAAGATACTACGTTGTAAGCGTGGGGCGGAACCATCACATATACAGAAAGCCAGTATGTTGTTTAGTAATGTAAACTTCCTGGAGGAGTTGGAAGATCAAGTGGGCGCTACAGTGCAGATGGTATCCGCTGACGATTATTGTCACACTTGCGGTATGTACTATCATAACGACTTTAGGTGTACATGTGATCTTTATATATGTATATGTCTGTATATATATATATGTATATATATATATAGTATATTTAGACATATAT